GCTTGCTTATCATTGAGAACCTTGATATTGCATCTTTAGAGTACTTCATTTATATTGTTTGCATGAAATATAATAACATAAATACTTGTATAATTATCTAATTCTATTCATATTTATTATTAATATTTTACAATTGATTAAGAGACACTTACATTGATAAAAAAAAATTGATGTGTATTACATCAAATTTGTTCATAAAAAATATATATATGTGTTGATTTAATTAAATATCTTTTACAAATTTTTATAATATGAATTATCTTTTTTAGATTTGTATTATTTTATTGTATTATTTTCTTTACGTGTCTTTTTATGTTTCTAGTTATTTTTACATCTATCAACATGTAATTTTAATATGTGTAAAAATACATGAAAATTTATGATAACCAATCAAACATGAAATTTTAGATGTGAAAATGGTGACATAATATATGTTTCAAGTATGTAAGCTTAAGTGAATTAGTTTAGATGATTTGAAATAGAATTTAAAAAAGATTTCTATAATACAACAATAATCTCTAGAATACAATATTTTTCTTTGGAAGTTATCAATGTTATGACATCATGTTTCCTCTCATGTAGCCATCGTTTTTCTTCCAAGTTTTGGCTTTTCTTGAGAATGGACTTGCCACAAGGCACATACATTCTGATTTAATTTTCATATTAAGTTTTATCATGTGAAGCCATGCAATTGTGATGCAGGAACTTTTTCCATTTTTTTTGGTTCTCTTTGTCATTTTGACTCCATATCAGATATCGCTCCATGTGTTTCTTCCTAAGGTAGCTTCTTCGTTTGTAATTGCAATCATAGATACACCTCTAGCTTTCTTTGACACATGGATTTCATAAGGAATATGAACATACGCATAAAACATACATTGATCTAAGATGAGATGTGTGTTCTTTTATAATTTTTTCCTTATCCAGTTCAGCTGTTTGCTAGTTTTCTCCGCTTATGGAGATCAAGCCATTTGGTTGATGCATGCGGATGGTTTCAAAGGAGTCAAGATTTAAGGCGGATAGGTCTATGGTGACAATGGAAAAATGATGTGTTACTAAAAATTCTGTGAACGTATGGTCAACCGGCCGGAGGGTATTCTACGTTGAGTACAAACTATCTTTCCAATTAAAAAAATCCAACTCAACACCATCTCTTATCTTAGACGTGTGACTATCAAGGATTTTGTTCTTGTATAGTGTATGAATGTACAGTTAAAAAAAACTAATTGTATTTTCTTTTCAATTCCCGTGTTTCAGGGAAGGATAATTCTTTTTTTAATCTATGAAAAAACAAAATTTATCTATCTACGGAACAGTCTTTTTTGATTAAAAACATAGAGTTTGTCTATGAAGTAAAAATTGCTTTCTCTTTATTTTATTCAAGGGTCGACCAGAGAGAGAGAGAGAGAGAGATTTACTTACTTTTTAAGTAGACTGCGTTGATTATTTTTTTCAATATCTTTTTCGTACCTACTTTTTCAGTGCCTTTTTCATATGAGATTTTATTATATGATTTGATCGTAATGGCATCTCTGGTGCAATAATTATTTTTTTTATCTGATTAAAAATCTTATTTTTAAAAAAGGAGCGCCTAATAAATTAGAAGCTAAAATTAGCTTCTAATTTATTAATAATTGGATTTTTTCCCCAAATTCTATCAAATTTTTTTTTTGGTTTTATGTTTTTTTAACATAGCTTTTTTACTTTCATTTCATTTTTTTGGCAATAAATTACAACTAGTTCAATTCATAGAATTTTATTGTTTTGTCTACTTAATAAAACTTTGTTTTAGAAATAGGCTACTTTATCCACTTACCTCAATTATGTTAGTATTAATTAACTACAGTAGCAATTGTGATTATGATTTATAGTAATAGTTATAGGTTTTATGATGAAAAATATTTTTTAATTTTTTTGTTATTTGAGTCTTTTCATTGCATCAATTTAGATGTAGTTCTTAGTACTACTTTGGACAAGTTTATACAACTCAATGTGTAAGAGGTTGTCTAACATATGAATCAGAAATGATACTATGAGATATATGTAAAGTTAAGCAAATCGCTTCTGCTACTCGAACATAAGATTGTGTAGGTTGCAAAAGATGTGAATCTGCTTGTCCAACATATTTTGTAAGTGTACGTATTTTAAGGTGATTTAGTTAAATAAAAAATAATTCCTTTTTATTAAGAAAGATAATTAAACCTGATCAAAACTTCCATTTCAAGAAATAAATAAAATTAATATCTAGATTGATTTCAAAATTAAAAATGATAAATTTGACATTATAGCTATCAGAGTTAGTGATATTTTTCATAGATAAGTTAAAATTTTAGGATACCCAATAAAAGAAAAAGATAAAAGAAGAAAATTAATAAGCCGTTTTTCACAACAATCTGATATTTGTCAAAAATTATTCAAGAGATCTATGAGTGATGTAGAACATAAACCTTTAGTATGGGAAAAATTTCAATTTAAAATTAATTCTCCATTTTTTGATGAATAATAGAAAAATCAACTTAAAATATTAACGATATTAAGAAATAAAAAAAATTTGAAATATTTTTAAATAAATAATTTCAAGTTATTAATTTTTATGTTTATAGATATAAATTAAATTCATTACAAAAGAATTAATAATCACTTTTAGTTCAATTTGGTATAATGTAGATGTCCAAAACCTCATGTTGTAGGTTCAAATCCTACATAGTGTGAATTATTAATAGTAAAAAAATTATATTTACGTATATTTTGAAATAAAATTTTTTTTATTAAAATAAATTTTTTATTTAAAAAAATTATAATAATTAATAAAATAAAAATATAGCTATAGTTTAGGTATGTGTTCTTCAATTGGTGTTGCATATTCAGCTCCAATTGATGCCACTACTGCTTTTTTCTTGATCTACCCTATGAGTCAAGGGAGAATTATCTCCATTATTCATCTCTCTAGCTCTAAATAATCCTCGCCTTGATTTCTTACATAAGCTTCAAAATTATATCTTTCAATATGTTTTGTAAAAAAATGAAAAATTTTAATCTCAAATAAATTCACTAAATTTCATTTTGGTCAATGTAGATAGATCATGAAGCCTAATGGAATCAAACCATGAAGACTATATCATTATGCCCAATGTTTTTACTATTTGATAAACAATCATCATTCATGGGGTGATTCAAACTTTGTACCTTCATGGTATATTTGTGGATTGGCTAATTTTTTAAAAAAATATTGTAATTTTTTATTGCCATGATTTCCCTAATCCTAAATCTATTCTTGCAAAAGGTTTAGCTCATTCTTTATTATTATTATTATGGAGAGCCAAAGCACATTATGATATACTCACCTTATTTTAACCTTAATATAATAAAGTAAAAAACATTATTATTATATTGAGGTTTTTCAGAAATTTCTTGAGTAATTTTTATGAAATTTTAATGTTTTTTCTTGATTTTTTATATTATTTTATTTAAATTTAGAAATAAAAAAACAAAAATACATATTAGATAAATAACAACACTAATCTCAATGGTAACTCTTAGATTTGCACTTTAACCTCCTCAAAAAAAATGCAAGAATCCAATTCTTTTATCCTTTTGAGCACAATTAGTATAATTTTATTTTATTCTTATTCTTACAACTTAATTTTGCCATAATTTTTGTAAATTTTAAATTTCTATCAACAATTAATAAATTCAAAAATTAAAAACTAATAAATAAAATTTAGAAACAATCATTTTTTTAAAATTTTTTGGATTTTAATTTTTTGAAAAATAAAATAACTAAAGCATCAGGAAATAAAAAATAAATTTTAATTAACAATCCAGTTAAAATTTCAAACCACAATAAAGCTAAAACAGGTGAAATAAATTGATTTTGGTTTTATATGTTGCATTTTGAATTATGTTTTTATAACAATTTTATTTTAAAATTGTGTGGACATTACATATATACCAATTATTATTTTTAATTTATGATCCAAATAAATTAAAAAGTAATTCAAATTCATTAAATTCACGTATGTATTCAAAATCTAGTCTTATAATTTTTTAAATAGTCAAATTATTATTTTTAACAGAAGAAAATTAATAATAAATATTATAAAAATTCACCTAGAAAATTATTTTAATTTCAATTAAAGATAAAATTGATCACCACATTGAAATTGCAAATACATATTACAAATCATCCAAAAAGAATTATAAGAATTAAACCTAAAATAATTTCAAAAAATAAAACTTCAATCATAATTTTTATCAAATGAATAATAGTTATAACTGTAGTTTACTATGAATCTCAAAAAAGTTTAAGATCTACAATGAAATCTAAGTAATTTTTAAATATTTTTTATTATTTATTTATTTTTTAAAAATAAACTTATATTTATTTTAAAGCACCAATTGAAAAAAAAATGCCTAATTATTGTAAGTATAAAAAGTCTAATCATAATTTAAAATTTAATTATTAATATCAAAATATTATTAAAATTTTAAAAGTATTAATATATATATATATAATTTTTAATAAAAAATTATACTTTATATAATAGTTTTATACATATATTATGTTGACCAAAAATATATAATAAACTGAAAAAAAAGTTGAATAAATTAAATTATATAATTTAATAATATATTCAAAAATATAAACAAAATATTTGTTTATGAGTGTAGAGTCTCATATAGAATAATATGTAAATATTGCATTTTTTTAAATTGAACTTACTTAATTTATTTGTATGAATGATATAAATTATTTTTAGAAATTTTTATGTATATACATACATACATAATTTTAATACATCTATTTAATTATTATTTTTTTAACTTATTTTTCAATTGTTGTTTGAAATCATCTTACTGCATACAAAGAATATTAGTTATACTAAGTTAGCATGCTAATATTCTCGTAAAATGTAATTTATATTATATATTATGTTATGAAGTTTGATCGTAACTTTTCAAATTCAATTTTTTTTCATTTTTTTTTTCAAAATAGAAAAAAACCTGCCATTGGAGTCGAACCAATAACCATTGCATTACAAGGGCCACGCTCTGAACTCTGAGCTAAACAGGCAAATACCTTTATTTCTTAAAAATTTAGACTGCTAATCAAAACTATTTATATATTTGAATGAAAGATATATCTTGTATATAATATGTTAAAAAGAAATAATTATATTTTTTCTTAATTGTTTAATTTTTGAACTATTGCATACAAATATAATTAAAATCAATACAAGAAAAAATAATAATGGCTCACTGTATACAAGAGGGAGTATGGCAAAATTGGTAGATTCTGCAGCCTTAATTTAACTGAGCTTTAGTTGAGAAATTTACTGAATGATTGTTTTCAAGTTTAGGCGAACATAGGTTACAAAATAAAAAATAGAACTTGTTAATCCTGAGCCAAATTTTTTTTTGCTAAAACAAAAGAGGTGCAAGGACTTAAATAAAAATATCATAACAAATTTCTTTATGATTTTTTTAAAATTTAATTAACGTATCAATTAATAATAATAAAATCATGAACTGATTGTTTAATTTTTAATATAGACGAGGATAAAGATAGAGTCCGGTTTTACAAGTTAATAACAATGAATATTGTATTAATATGAAAAATCGGTGGCTTAAAGGAAATAAGGGTTCAATTCCCTCTACCCTCAGGTAAACTTTTATTGAAATGTTAAAGAAAGTTGACATATGTTTGCTATATATGTTAAAATAGAAGAAATAAAATTTTTTGGGATAGCTCAGTTGGTAGATCAGAGGACTGAAAATCCTAGTGGCACCAGTTCAAATCTGGTTTCTGGCAGATTTCTAAAATATATTTAAATATAAACAGGGCTTAAAATCTTCTAATATGAATCTGAATTTTAGAACATGAAAAACCCTTTTTATCACAATATTTATAAATATATTTATTTTTAATTCAATTTATTATTAAAAAAGTATAAACTTTTTTCCCCAACCATCAGCAACTCCCCAGTTGACTTTGATCTTTCTTCCGACGAATCCTTCTACTATCCTCACCTTATGCATGCTAGCGTAAGTAGTTCTCTGCGGTGAAAACAGCTGATTCAACGTATACATGATCTTTTGTCGGAAATCATCCTTAATCAAATCAATCTTGAACCCGTTGGATCAAACCACAATCAAACCCGTCGAATATCATGTGTTTTATTCCGAAAAACAAAAAAACAAGCTTAAAATTCCTAACTAGGGTCCTACAAAGCCTGAATCGGACTCAGACTTGGAGGTGATTGGAACTTCGAGGAAGAGGAAGAGAGTAGTGGAAGACAGTCCACCAGCTACTCTAGCCGTTCGAAGGTAGGTAGGCAAGAAGAAGGTGGAAGAAGTAGGACCGGCCAAGTCCTCTCGTCCGAAGATGATGGCAGTAAAGCCGGGGCCGAAAGCCTCGAAGGAGATTGCAGAACCTATGGCATCGGTATTACAGCTGTCGCAGAAGTTGGAAGCTGTGGTGGTCCCCGTGCTATTGGAGTTGAACGAGATGGGGCCGATATATATGCTAGGATGGGACCCTCAAGCAGACGGGTATATGGAGTTGATTCAGATGATGAACCGTCTGGCGTTGGGGAAGGAAGATCAATCCATCACAGTGAGAGAGTTAACGGAGAATGTGGACAAGTTGTCCAAAGAGAAGGCTGAGATGGAGCAGAAGGTCCAGGAGGCGAAGAAGGCCTACGAAGAGATTTGTCGTATTCGGGGTGCGGAGATTCATTTTGTGGAGAAGGAGAATGCCCATCTTTGGGAGATAGTGCAAGACCTGAAGCGAAGACTGATTCAGATGGATGTGGAGGCACCGGCAAAGTTGGAGACCCTCGTTAATAAATGTGTGCAGCATCTGTTCACACGGTGTGATCGAGTTGAAGTGCAGTGGTTAGAGCAGTTAGTGGCAGCGATGGAGAATCCCGGTGACTCGAAGGATCGAAGAAAGGAGATGTACAAGGTATTGGGTCGGGATTTCAAGGAAGCCATGGCTCTTCATCGACAGGAGATGCAGTTAGGAATCGACGCATTCACGCAAACAGCGGAGGTACGATCGAGCGGCTTAGATCAGAGTAGAAGATTTAGGAGAGAGCGATCCATGTAGGAGACGGTTAGCTTGATAGTTAGGAGTAGCAGTTAGAACATTCATTATAAATAGTCGTAGGAAATAAAGTGATAGATCTTTCATCCTTGCATGTGTCCAAGCTATTGGATTGCAAATTTTAGTCAGGGTAGAACGAGTACTCGAGGAGCTGGTGTCTACAGGCTGACATTGTGACGATTGAAGCGTGTATCCGTGAAGTTACCCGGGTATTCGTCCACGAGCTGAGCCTGTCTGTAGCAGCAAAAGTACTCTAGAGGGTGTTTCGCCGAGACGAAAACTTGTAATGAGAGAGATCCCGATCCCGAAGTAAAGCAAATTGCTGAACTCTATTTGCTATGTCTATGGAAATGGTGATGTGATGGGTTTGTGAAGGAATTGAGTTTGAATCGATTGCCTTCTTTGTGAATGCTCTTCGGACTTTGCAGTCCAGAGTTAGAAAGATGTCTAAATGCTTATTTCCCTTCTTTGCTAGTGTGCTTTGATCCCTCATTGCCTTGGGAACGAATCAATCTATACGAATTCGGACTGAATAGTACCTACCGTGCTATTACAACGATTCATTATCTGAATCATGTCCATGTACCGTCTTCTTGAGGATCCCATCCTTGGATATAGTTTGTTCCCATTTTGTTCAGCTCCATGAGAACTGGAACAACGACATTCTCTTGTTTCTGCAATATTGAAAAAAGTTGTTCTCCACCATCTGCTTTTGATGCCTTCACCTTAGGCCTCGATACTTTTGGTACTGGGCTTCTCAGTTTAGCAACCTCTTTGAACTTGCGCTTCTTACTTACTGATTCTCGAACTTCTTCCACACTTGGACTTCTCACATTCCTTCCCAAATTTCCTGTTGAGTCTTCTCGTCCAATTCCACTCTTCTCAATCTCCCGCATCACCTTATCCAATTCTTCTAAAGTCATTTCATCTTTATCTTCTACTACATGTGACTGCAAACTTCCTCCTCCATTGGGTCCCATACTTCTGGTCGAACCACTATTGGTTTCACTCATATTTCATATATGGCTCTTTCAGGATATTTTCCGTATCCAACTGATACTTCATTCTTTCCCTTGGGGTTAACAACCCCATCCTTGAGTACATGTGTATCAGAAATGAGTAAATGTACACAAGTCCCTTCTTGCCTAATCAAGCTTTTGCCCCATTGCTTGCACGTTTCGAGCAAATATTTCTCCCCAATTGATTTTGATTGAATCTTTCAAGAAACCTTCTACTATCCTCGTCTTATGCATACTAACATAAGTCGTCCTCTGCGGTAAGATTAGCTAGTTCAATGTATACATTATCTTTCTCCGGAAATCGTCCTTGATCAAATCAATCTTGAAACCATTAATTCACTTCCTTCCACGAGGATCAAACCACTAAGTCTCATCAAACTCGAACCTGGTATGCAACGCCGATCCTTCCCAATCGATACCATTCTTGTCCTTTGTGTAATCTCGGCCCCAATGTCTCTGCCCACAGGATTGTATCTCATGTATCGGGATGTCCTCTCAACCTGATAGGGTTTGCAATCTTCTTGGCTCTCACGGCCTCACATAACTCTGGGCATATATAATCCCACTGCCACGCTAAGAACGTACCTCCAAGGTTCTTTAATCTCAACAATTCATTCACCGTCTAATCTAGCTTCAGCACCAAAGGTCGATTTACTCCTAACTACATCTTTTGTGTAGGAGGCAATCGAATGGCCTTTCTTGCTCCCGATTGAATTGCCATTTGTCTCCTCATCGTGTTACCCCTAATAGTTTGGCACACAACTGCTTGTCGATATAGTTACTAATTCATGTTACGTTAATATCATGATTTCTCCCGCCCTCTCCCATCTACTCATTTCACGCTTAACATGCATATTCGCATTAAGAGGCATATTTGTATTTGGCCTTACTCATTTCCTCCGAATATCATGCTTTTATTCCGAAAAACAAAAAAATAAACTGAAAATTCCTAACGAAGATCCTACAACAAATGAACATGGTGCACCATATGATTGTACATAATTTAGTATAATGACTTATATCTTAAAAAAAAATTTAAAAAATAATTATATCAATATTTAAAATTATAAATAAAAAAATTATTTAAAAATACGATATTATAGATTATTTGAAAATTGTGTGATCATATCTCATGTTACAAAGCTTATAAACCAATTGCAAATGAACTCAAATATCTTAAACAAATATCATTATTTTATTTTATTTTATTTAATTCAATTCAATTTAATTTGATATATCTATGTTTTATTTTTCAAATTAATTATAATACAAATAGATTAAAGTGATTTTTTTGAAAAAATATTTTTTATCAACAAAGAAAATTTAAAGTGAATTTAAACATTAATGATTAATTACTCCATAGCATATTTTTATTTTTTTACAATAAATCAACATTTTCTTTTGACATGACCTCTTTAGAAATCAACGTTTGATGTTGTTGATGCTGATTTGAAATTATTCATCTTGCCTCTATACACGTGAAAAATACCTTGCACAAGCAAAAAATAATTTGAAAATTATTGCAATTTTATATATATAAACGACATATTTGCAATAAAATAATAAAAATATTTTTTTGCATCAATATATTATATCTACTTCATATGTATTAGTAAACAATAGATTCAAATAATTAAAAAAAATATGTTAAGTAATCCAAATCCATCAAAAATTATTGATTTTTTTTAAATAAATATATATTGATTTTTTTGTTGCAAATTATATTTCATGTGATTGAAGATCTAGTCATAAATTTTCCACATTATTTTTTTCTTCAAAACAAGCCAAAACTATATCCCAAAATTATGTTTATCTTCTGTGGAGATCATAATTTCATTTTTTAATTTTAAGCCTTCTATTTGTTCACATAAATTCATATATTTTAAAACGTTAATATCTTTCAAAAAAATTGATTTTTTTGATTTAATATAATATATGATATCAAAATAATA